CCTTCCACGTTCTGCTCGTCCCAGTCAGCTTCGTCTTCTGCCGATGCGAAGGCTCGGTTGCCACGATAACCACCTGTGGGGTCTCGGTTCTCATCCAGGTTGGCAAGATAAGTTTGCATGGTGAGTCGTTCGTAGAAGATGATGTCACGTGCTGCCACTGTTTCCTTCGTGTGGACGCCGAAGATTTTCCATGCGTTGTAGTGTTTTTCGATGCCCAGGTGTAGCCCCCACTGTGCTCGTTGCGAAAATCGGCCGGCCCGTGCAGATGGTGGTCGGTACTGTACCATGCACCCAAAAACTCGTAACATTTTTGTGTTGCCCAATTTCCCGGTCCACAGCAGATGCGGTGATGCGTTGTTCGGGAGTGACGACGAGGAGAGCAAGTTGTGTAGCATTACAGCGTGGTCCATCGCTTCTGGCCACTGGTGGTTGGGAAGCCGCATGCCACGTAACAGTTTCCGCATGGTGTTTTGGAGGGTCCTATTCAACCTTTCTGCTACACCCTGTTGTTGATGGGCGTAAGGAAGGGAGATGAGGCGCTTGATGCCTTTCTCAGCCAGGTAGTTCTTGAACCTCGTCGAGGTATATTCTCCTCCTCCGTCTGTTTGGAAGCTTTTTAACTTGACGCCCGATTCCCGCTCTGCTACGGGAAGCCACGCGACGAACGCCTCGAACGCCATATCTTTGCTCGGGAGATTCAGGTGCCAGACGTAGCGTGTTGCGGCGTCGATGAAGGTAATCGTGTAGAGGTACGTATTCTGCCCTGGTTCACGGTTGTACAGGATGTCGCTGTACACCTTTTCGAGTGGTGTGTAAGCTGGTGCACTTGGGTTGTGGTGCGATGGGAACGGTTGATGAGGTAGGTCTCCTTCTGGGCAGGTGAAGCATGTGCCGCGTACGCGTTGGAGTTCTTGTCCGTTGGTTAATAGGAGTGAGTCTTTGTCGAGCACTCCTGCTCGTATTGTGTTGTTTAACACTGTGTTGCTTGGATGTCCCATTCTTGCGTGCCAGGTTGCTTCGTCGGCACGGTGTTCGGGTGATCGTCGGTACAGATCCGAGTTGGAGTAGAAGCCGGTGGTGAAGTTGGGGCTGTGATGAAACTCTCGTGGTGCTGGCTGAAACTGTTGTGCAGGTGTCGGTGAAGTGTCGTCAACGAGGACTGGTGCCGTTGAAGGACCAGCGACTGGTGTTGTTGTTGGTGCCGTTGTTGTCTCTGCTGCTGCCGATGTTGTTCCTGCTGCTCCCGATGTTGTCTCTGCTGCTGCAGATGTTGTTCCTGTTGCTCCCGATGTTGTCTCTGCTGCTGCCGATGTTGTTGCTAATGCCCTTGTTCGCTCTGTCTCAGGGATGGTATACGAATACCAGAAGCCGCCCGGACTGAAGTCAGGGTCAAGGTCCGGAGGGTGTGTCCAGTTGGTGAAGTTAACTATGGCGTCACTGTCGGCGGTGCCAAGATCGGGAACGAAGTCCAAGACGAAGACGTTGTTCTTGAGGACCGCCTTCCCGATGTAGAGACCTCCTCTCCCATGATACAACTTGAACTCCTGGATGGTGCTGTCTGCTTCGAGGTGAATACCTTTCGCCATCAGCTGACTGACACTCAGTAAGTTGTAGCCGAGGCCTTCTGCAATTAAAACCTTTGACATCTGTAGTATGACGTTTGTCTCTCGCGACTGAAGTTGTACGATTCCTTGCCGTCGTGTGCGCAGGTTCTGGTTGTTGGCGACGGTTATGACGACTTCCCGTTGAAGCTGGTATTCTTGTTGTACGAAGCGTCCTGAAGAGCACATGTGCTGTCCGCAACAGCTGTCCAAGAACCACGTGTCTGTCCCTGAAGGCTCGCTTTGGGCGATGGCGGCGTACGTTGGATTTGGTTTGAGTGCTTCGCGGCGAGGTGTGGTGTTATCGAGATGGTCTTCTGGTGAGTAATGTGGCGGTGAATCGGTGATGCAGGATTCGCTCAGTCTTGCCATGCAGCTGATGATGTTTCTTGCTCCTTGTGCAGGTTGTCCCGGTGAAGTTGAGGCTTGGACCTGAGTCGTCGGGTTCGCCTGTGTTGAAGTCACTTGACTGCTTGAAGGTCGTAGTTGCCGCTGCAAGGCAGTTAACTGTTGTCGATTCGGGCAGTGCGTGCGTGGGTGCCCTGATGTCTTGCAGATGTGACAAAACGGAGGTACTGGCTTCGGCTGCTGCTGTCGGTTGTTGTAGTTGTTGTGTCGTCGCTGAGTATGGAAAGCGAATTCTGACGTTGTCGTCTTTCGTTTGTGTCGTTCTTCTTGCAGATCCATGTCCTGCTGCTTGGCGTGTATTTCGGCGCAGAGTGCTGCTTCAGAAATTCTTCCGTGGGCTCGAAGAATTGCTTTGGTGGCGCGCCACTGAGGACCGAGGCCACCGATGATGACTGTTACGAAGGCGTCTTCAGAGATTGATCCTCCGCATCGAAGAAGCTTGTCGCGCAATTCGCGACATCGGCTGATATACGCCAACCCCTTTTCTCCTGGTTTCATTTCAACTGTTGTCAACTGCGCCATTAACTTGCTCTGGTTTACACTGTCTGTTGCTTGATACAGGTTCTTCAGATGGCCATACGCGAGTTCCGCCGAGTTGTCGAAGGTCCGGTAAGAGCGAATGTTCTGCTACTGAGTTGGTGTGATGTTTCTCAGTAGAATAGTATACGCCATCATCGATTGATACGTATACTGCTGCTTCTCATACTGTGTGCCGTTTGCTGGATACTGCAGGGATCCGTCGAAGAAACCGAGTATCTGCGCGCCCTCCATCATTAGCTCGAATTCAAAGGACCAGGTGAAGAAGTCCTTTCCGTCAAAAGGTCTTGATGTTTGCAGTTTCAAGACATGCGCGAATTGCGACTGAACTTGTAATGCGTCCATTGGTTTGTCTTGCGCAGGTGGAGGTTGAGGCAGGAAGCTGATCGACCCGCGCTCGTACGGGGCGAAGGTGGGTTGCTGCTGTTGATTCCCTCGCGCATATGACGACCCATCAAGGCTCATGGGTGTCGCTCCGTTGTTGCTGTTGTGTGTCTGTGCAGGTCCCGACTGCTGGTGTTGCTCGTAGAAGGACATGAAGGAGAAGAATTTCTCCATCATGCTCTGATCAAAGTCAGAAGGATGGTTCGTGGGGGTCTCGGTTGACGTTCCCCTTGGTCTTGCTGCCGTGCCTTCCTCAGTCTGCAGGCCAGATGCTGGCGGTGGAGTAGGAGTAGTGCCCGAGGAGCCATTAGGGGAGCTCCTTTCCTTGTTTGTTGCCATGTCTTGTAATGATCTTGAAAAGGTAGAGTTTCCCCTGTATGCTCTCATACCATGTTGGAATGAAAAGGCCCTAAGGATCTTTACAGAGGATAACTCTGGGTAGGATACTTTGTAATAGCGGAAGCGTTTAATGAAGCTTTGTGAACCGACCTTGCACTAGTGTGTGAGAGCAAAGTATATTAAATTATATTGAAAGGATACAAGCTTATATAATAATACAGGGAATATGAAGAGATACGGTTATAACTACTTTTACTGTTGCTGTTGCGGTTCGATACAGTGCGACTCGGGCAACTGCTCTGTAATGAGTCAGTTGTGTGTCCTTAACTGTCGCGCTGTTCTTGTCAGGTCAAGGGTCAGCGACCTTTGACTTTCGCGTAACTTCCTGCAGCCGATTCAACCTCCGAGGGTTGACTCGCAGGTGCTTCGGTGTAGGTTGCCTCGCTTCTGGTGCAATGTTTTGACACTGCTGAAGTGTTTAAGTTCCATTGTTTCCAACAATGCCATGCCATGCCATGCCATGAGATGCCATGCCATACAATGCGATGTCATTCTTTGTCGATTCATTCTATGCCACCTTACCATGTCGAAGCGCGCCAAGCTCTAGCTACGAATTTTGTTAGGAAAAAAAGGTTTACATTTCATGCAAGTGTATGCAGCTGTTTAGAGATTCTATGTTATTACACGTAGGATTACGATAAATAATACGTAGGCAGTATATGTTGTTGCTTGGGGGCATGGACCTAGTTTCATACCATGTTGTCTTGTTAAGTCCATATAAGACTCACACACTGTTTATTCGCCGTCATGTTGAAGCCCTCAGTATCGAACCAGTCCGTGTTTCTGCGGTGATTCCGTCGACCTCCTCCTCACCTTCCTCACCGTCACCACCTATCCATTGGGAACAGCGCAATCCCAATCTACGGCCCTCCGTCTTTCCCTCCTCACTCCCACTCGACACACACACACACAACCTTCTGCTCTGCACCCACCTAGGTAATGAAGCACCTACAGTACTGCGCTGCGCGTGCAGTCCAGCCTCGCGATCTTATCACCACCATTTCCTGCCTGGCGATTGGTCGAGCTGCGTGGCATTACGGCCTGGCGAGGCTTGCAAGCAAGCAGCGCCAGACTCCCGAGTCACGAGATATGGTCCTCCGAACAGCTGAGTCTTCGGTTTCGTGTTGTACAGTACCTGACGAATTCGACTTGGAACTTCTAAGGTGCTTTACTGGGATTCAACCACCAGCCTGTCGAGACCCCACGACTATGGAGCAATCAATGAGCGATTCCGTTCAGTTGGCTTTTTTTCCGTACAGCCTGTGTGTGGGAGACTGATCCCGTTGCTTCGCGTAGGGATTTAGCTCATGAGGTATTGATGAACCGAAGCGCCACGGCAGTGCTGTCTGTTGGGATGTAGAGTGATCTTCGTGCGAACCGCAAGTCAGCCTTTCGCAGTACGCCGTTGACCGGTCTGTCTCAGCCATGTCTGTCGGTCGCATTGTGTCGGTGCGAATAGCGAGAGCGATTCGATACACTCTCAGCATTGATCAGGCCGCGTGCGACTCAAAATCAGAAAAAAACAACGGCAGCATTTGATGCCCCATAAAGCCAACAATCCGTCAGTCAGCTCAACAACGCAACCCCGAAGATCTCTTGTAGCCTGCAGCTCTCCGCGATTGCGCAGCATTACCTAAGAAGCACCGAATTGTAGGGTTTTCAGCAGCAATAATGGGTTCAAGCACGGCCGCTCTGAGAAGACTCGAGAATTCTGTCCTTCCGTTTCTGCTGCTGCTGCTGGCGTTCGGCATGATGGAGTGTGCGCCAGCAGAGGCAGCACGGGTGTTGAAGGCGAATCTGGTCATCCCGAACGGACCAACATCCACACACAATGCGCTTCAATCTCCAGCATCTGACCAGTTTTCTCCTGTCCCAGCAGCTGAGCATCCGCCTCCTGTCCAAACAGCCGTGGGATCTGAGCCGTCAGATGGCTCCGCTGCTGTGACATCTGAGCCGTCCATCGACCCCCTGGTCGTTGTGTCTGCTGTGAATGGAGGTGATGAGGAGGCAGGCAATGAGCCGGATGGAGCTGATTCCAGCGCTGCTGCTGCCGCTCCAGTTCCAACCTCCTGGTTGAGGCCAGCACAGATGCCCAACCACGCTCAGATGCCCAACCACGCTCAGATGCCCAACCACGCTCAGATGCCCAACGATCCTCAGCCTAACGATCATGGTCCCTTCCTCCTGGAGACCGATCCCATGCCAGCTGTGGGATCAGAGGAGGAGGCTCCAGCGGGGAATGAGGATGGGCTTGTGCCGGAGATCTACGTCGCTCTGCCAGAAGAAGCAGCGCCTGTGGAGGCTCCAGCAGGGTCGCAGGGTGTTGCACCCACGCCTGATGCTGCTGACTCCAGTGGTTCTGGTCCTGTTCCAAGTGCCTGGTTGAGGCAGGCAAAGATTAAAGGTGACCATCAGGTGCCGAATGACCATGGTCCCTACCTTCTGGGGACTGATGCTGCCATTTCAGCTGTGGGTTCAGAGGAGGCTCCAGCAGGCAATGAGAAGGAACTGGTGCCAGCCGTTCTTGTCCCTCACCCGGAGGAAGCAGCACCTGGGGAGGCTCCAGCAGGCAATGAGGATGTGCTTGTGCCGGAGATTTACGTTGCTCTGCCAGAAGATTCAGCTCCTGGGGAGGCGCCAGCAGGCAATGAGGATGGGCTTGTGCCGGAAATCTGCGTCGCTCTGCCAGAAGAAGCAGCACCTGGGGAGGCTGCAGTAGCAGGATCCCAGGGTGATGCACCCATGCCTGATGGTGCTGAATCCAGTGCCCTTGTTCCTATTCCAAATGACCATGGTCCCTACCTTCTGGGAGTTGATTCCACTGTGGGTTCGGAGGAGGAGGCTTCAGTAGGAGAGGAGCAGGCACCGGTGAAACTGCCAGACGTTCTTGTCCCTCTGCCGGAGGAAAGTGCACCTGGAGAGGCTGAAGCAGCAGGCTCAGTTGCACCTGAGAATTAGGATTATTTCTTTGGAGAGAGTGGATCGCAAGAGGGTTAATGCTTCAGTTTTCAGTGGAGGGTTGATGTGAGCATAATGGAAACAATCTTTCTGATATTTGACATTGATTGTGGAAGGGTATTTTGTTGAGACAGAAGATATATGGATCCCGTAGGTATCAGCTGATGCTTTTCTACTACCGGTACATTCTATGTGAAGCATTTCATTGTAAAGCAAATCCGGTACCCGGTGTTTCATCTATATAGAAAGCGGTTTGATGCGGTCGGAGGATAGTATGTTTTGCTTCGGCTTTTCAATTTGTTCCCCCTTGGCCCCTTGTCGGCTCTGAAAACGGGACGCCATCACGCCGCATTACTTCGCACAACTAACGCCGAAACGTGGAAAGTGCTTGTTTCCCTGCCCGAAGCGTACAGACTGCCTCTGTCCGTAGATTTCGCCCTCCGCAAAACCGGTAGCGGGAAGCCACATTACGTCGCACCTTAGGCGAAGCGCAGAAACTGCCTCGTTCCGTACCTTGTTATTCTCAGTGACCCCCGTAACAGTAGGAGAGAAGAGGTTGGGTTGTAGCGTCTCAGAAGCTTCCAAATGCAGTCCACGTCAGCACCCGGCGGACCACATTCCGCCAATCGGGCCACCGGGGGAGCAGCCGCTCCGCCGCCCGCGCATGGGCCCCCCATGAGCGCAGGCGGCGGAGATCATCCGCACGGCGCCGGCGGGGGGATGTCCGCGGGCGGCGCAGCGGAAGCGGGGGGACTCGTGCAGGCGGGCTTGGCGCAGGCGGGAGCGGGATCGACGGCGGGAGTCGCGGAGCTCTCTAAAGCCGCGGCGCGACGGGTGGTGGACCTGCGGTCCGACACAGTGACCAAACCCACCGGCGCGATGCGGGAAGCGATGAAGAACGCTGACGTGGACGATGACGTCATCGGGATAGATCCGACGGTGGACAGGCTTCAGAGGCAGGTGGCGACGATGATGGGGAAGGAGGCGGGGCTGTTCGTGCCATCTGGCACCATGGGGAACCTGATCTGCGTGCTCGTGCACTGCGAGGTATGTGTGTCATATGTTGCTGTTTCGTGCCGTCGGGCACCATGGGGAACCTGATCTGCGTGCTCGTGCACTGCGAGGTGGGTGTGGGCTTGTACGCACCATGGTGCACTGCGAGCGAGGTATGTGTGTGATTGGCTACTGTTCGTGCCGTCGGGCACCATGGGGAACCTCATCTGCGTGCTCGTGCACTGCGAGGTGCGTGCGTGCTAGCTTGTATGCGTTATACGCGTTATGGTACACTGTGAGGTGCGTGCGTGCTAGCTTGTACGCGTTATACGCGTTATGGTGCACTGCGAGGTGCGTGTGCGAGCAGGGGGGAGTGGCGAGGCGGCACTGGGGGCCGGGCGTGCATCCGCGCACGGTGGTGAACAAGGCGGACGGTACCATGGACCTCAAGAAGGTGGAGACTTTAGAGTCGACTCAAAAGGGACTGCAAGAAGGTGGAGCTGCATGGCTGTCCCCCACCTTCTTCAACCCCTCTCTCCCCCCTTCCTCAACCACTCTCCTGCTCTTCCGCTCGCTCCCTCCGTGATGGCACAGGTGCGGGGCAGTGAGGTGATTCTAGGGGCGGATTCGCACATCAGTGTGTACGAGCAAGGTGGTGTGGCGACGCTGGGCGGCGTGCATCCACGCACGGTGGTGAACAAGGCAGACGGCACCATGGACCTCAAGAAGGTGGAGCTGGATATCTCTGCCCCACCTTCTTCAACCCCTCTCTCCCCCCTTCCTCAACCACTCTCCTGCTCTTCCGCTCCCTCCCTCCGTGATGGCACAGGTTCGAGGCAGTGAGGTGATTCTAGGGGCGGATTCGCACATCAGTGTGTACGAGCAAGGTGGTGTGGCGACGCTGGGCAGCGTGCATCCGCGCACGGTGGTGAACAAGGCAGACGGCACCATGGACCTCAAGAAGGTGGAGCTGGCTATCAGGAAAGACGATGAGCATTACCCGGTTACCAGATGCATCTGCCTCGAGAACACCCACAACAGGTGATTTTTCTTTATATTCGAGTTCATTTCATTTGTATCAATAGCAGAGTCATTCATGCCAATGTCAATGGAAGCGTCACTCATAACACTCTCAGTGTTATTCATATCAGTTTCAATGTCCACTAATACCAGTGACAATGACACTCATATCAGTGCTTATGTCACTCATATTAGTTTCCATGAGAATCATATCAGTCTCAATGCCACGTGACGTGACTGCGTGGTGCAAGGCAACCATCATGGCACCATTCGTGAACGGCAGCGGTCCCTGGTATGTGGCTGCCGAGATCGCATGAGCCTTCTCCAGGACAGAGACGATCCTGATCTCGACGAGTGGCATCCAAGTTACTGAAGGCCTAAGCCGTGAACAGCCCCTGTGGACGTATCAGGTGCATGATGTTCGTGCCTGCCGCGTTCTTTGAAAGAGTTGAGACTGATATGAGTCTCAATCACAAACATCAAGCACCAGGTACGTCCATAGTGGGGTGTTCACGGCTTAGGTCTTTAGTGTCTTCGATGTCATTCGTCGAGACCAGCATGGTTTTTATCCTGGAGAAATCGCGTGCCTTCTCGGCAGCCACATATCAGGGATTCTTGTCTTTCACAGATTGTGTCATGATGGCTGCTTTGCACCATGCAGTCACATTGTGTAGGTACTCGGAGACAAGTCTGATGCTGTGCTCTGCGCTGTGTTCCAGGTCCTTGCCGTCATTGACTATGCGGTGCTCAACCTCGCAACACACATGAGACACATAATACATAAATCTCAAGATGGCATGTGTCGTGACCTCACCCTCTGTTCCACCTTTGCGCTCTTCTTGCGCTTCCCTGCTTTCCCTCTCTCCTCATGTCGCATCTTCCCTTCTCTGCTCTCTGCCTTCCTCCTTCCTTGTCCCAGGTTCCATCTCCTCCCCCTCTTCCCCTTTAGTGTCAATGCATCCCTTTAGTGTCAATGCATCCCTTTAGTGTCAATGCATCCCTTGAGTGTCAATGCATCCCTTTAGTGTCAATGCATCCCTTTAGTGTCAATGCATCCCTTTAGTGTCAATGCATCCCTTTAGTGTCAATGCATCCCTTTAGTGTCAATGCATCCCTTTAGTGTCAATGCATCCCTTTAGTGTCAATGCATCCCTTGAGTGTCAATGCATCCCTTGAGTGTCAATGCATCCCTTTAGTGTCAATGCATCCCTTTAGTGTCAATGCATCCCTTTTGAGGCGCCTCAAAAGTCTTCCCCTTTAGTGTCCATGCATCCCAGGAACAAGCCTCGCAATACCAGTGCTGTGCGCAGACTATTGCTCGAGCTCCTAACACTGCTAGCTTCGAATTGAAGTCAGAATTGCAGTATTGAAAGGAACAAACAAGCAAAATGCAAGCAAACATTCGGACCCCCTCCAGATCTATCCTTGCTACCTCCCAGCGTGGCCTTCTGGCTCCTGGTGCGCGAAGAAACCTCTTCGGCGCACTCCCAGGGTGCTAGCTGGCTACCTACGAGCTAGCTGGAATCCAGCTTTCCCACCGCCATCCAACTTCGCACCGCAAGCATTGGGTTTCTCCTCCCAATTCCCTCGCGCCTTGGGCACACCAACCCCCTCGGAACCTGCCCAACAACTCTCTCCCAAAACGAAATAGCAAGCACAGTACAGTATAGTACACAGTGAAACGAAACCAAGTAAAAGCAAACGCAACAAATTTACTCTTGCTGCTGCAATATTTCAGCTACGAGCTCAAGTGTGTACTTTCCAACCCTCACTGCCTGTACTCTCTGTGCTTCCCTGTGCGCTCCGCCTTCAGGTGCGGTGGGCGGGCCATAACAGTGGACTATACAGAGCGACTGGCAGAGTTGGCGTCGTGGTACGGGCTCAAGTTTCACATTGACGGAGCAAGAATATTCAACGCCGCTGTTGTGAGTTATTCAGTAGAATAGGTGCCATACATACGTCATTATACATTCGTAGCCGTATACTTAATCAATGCATTCTAGCCTTCCCGCGCTACCTATTAATTCTCCGTGTGTGCGGCTGGCTCGTGCGAGGCTCTCTGTCTGCCCATGAATGGATAGCCTTGTACGGCTATATTCAAAATCACTTTTGAGAATTCTCAAAACTCTCTGCCTCGTCCGGACGGCACACAGTGGTTGCATTTTGTTCCTGCCTATGCGTCTTCTATGTATGTATGTATGCCCTCTTCTCTGCCTGCCGCTGTTGATTATTTCCACGCCGAGAATCGCCTGCTTTGCCTCGCCCCATATCCATCCAGTGGTGCCCTTCATTCATTCCTCCCCATCCTCTCATGCTCTCTCTTGTGCTCCATCCGCCCTTATCCGCCTCTGCGTGCTCGCTGCCTGCCGCTGTCGATTCTATCCAGGCCCTCAGAGTGCCAGTGGATCGCCTAGTCCGCCCTGCACATAGTGTTTCTGTGAGTGTAGGGGGGGGAGGAAGGGGGAGAAGTGGGGGTGGGGGTGCGGTGCTCTGTGAGAAACAACGATCACAGGAATGAATGAGTTAGCAAGGAACATGCGTTTTGCTTTATTTGTTCTCTCCTCGTGCACTCTGTGTCTTTGAGCTGCCCTGCCCTGCCCTGCCCTGCCCTGCCCTGCCCTGCCCTGCCCTGCCCTTGTGCTGAGGGATGATTGTGCATCCCTGACCACTGGACCGCAACGACGACGTAGACGTGTCAGACGTGTCTTTGAGCTGCCTTTTTGTTTGAGGTTGATTTTGAGAATTCTCAAAATCAACCACATCCCTGACCACTGGACTGCAACGACCACGTAGACATGTCAGACGTGTCTTTGAGCTGCCTTTTCGTTTGAGGTTGATTTTGAGAATTCTCAAAATCAACCGCATCCCTGACCACTGGACTGCAACGACCACGTAGACATGTCAGACGTGTCTTTGAGCTGCCCTGCCCTGTGCTGAGCTGAGCACTCTCTTTGGCTCGGCTTGAAAAGGGTTGTTTGTGAGAACTGAGCTTAGAATCAATACATAAGTAATGAGCTCGAAGCTCCTGAAGTACATCCGAATGAAGCAAGGTATGGATGAGAAGGGAATCGGGGCCAATTTCTAGGGATTGAGGGTAATCCCAAGGCAATCCCCAATTGGTGGGTTGAAGATTGCTTGGAGATCACATTTGGGTTTGGTTGGGATGTGGGTGTACACCCAACCAAACACAAAGTGCTAACTACACTAAGCTAGGATATAAAAAGTACAAGTACAAAACGTGAGATTGAGGGCTAACACTAACATTAGCTTGGCACACTTGTTATAGCATGTACATACATGTGGCAACTCGCCTTGCCTGCTGTTGACGTGGCAAATCAGCTCGCCTGTTTCTGATGATGTGTGGCAACTTTCCTGCCTGTTTGCCTGGTTTTTGAGGCGCCTAAAAAAAAGCCTGTTTCTGATGATGTGTGGCAACTTGCCTGCCTGTTTGCCTGGCAGGTGTGCCTATCGAAAGGACTCGGAGCACCGGCAGGCAGTGTGATTGTGGGCTCTGTGGAGTTCATCGCCAAGGTATGGTGTTTTGTTTCCGGGTAGGGCAATCACACACCTCTCTCATTAGCGCCAGCAGGCAGGCAGGCAGTGTGATTGTGTGTGGGCTCTGTGGAGTTTCACTGCCAAGGTGCGGTTTGCATTGCTCTGTATTGCTGCGCACTGCCTTGTTGTGGTGATGACTTGGAGTGGTTTTGCAATCGAATCTCTCTTCTTAGCGCCAGCAGCAGGCAGTGTGTTTTGCGGGCTCCGTCCGTTATACCTGTGCAACGAGGCGAGCACGAGTAATGCTCGACTCGTCCCTAGCCATGCTCGGCCGAGTACGAGCCCGAGTCGAGTAATACTCGACGGAGCAATTTTCCCCCAAACAGATACTCGTTACTCGCCTTCTTTAGGGAAACTCGGGCGAGCAATTTGAAAAACTCGTCCGAGTACGAGTAATGCTCGGCCATGCCCTCTACAGGGCTTAAAATGCTCGGCGAGTCCCCTAAATGCTCGCCTAAAAGCAAGCGAGTACTCGTCAAGCAAAAAAAACTCGGCGAGTAATACTCGGCTCGACTCGGCCGAGTAAATTTTACAAAAAACGAAACTCGTTACTCGCACCCAAACGAGCAACTTGGCCAAGTCCGAGCGAGTAATTCGCCTCGTTTCTCAGGTATACCGTCCGTTGCATTGCATTGCATTGCGTTGAGTTCATCATAGCCAAGGTGCGGCCTTTGCATCGCTGTTCTCTGTTCTCTCTGCTCCGTTCTTCTCGGTGCTCTGCTCAGCTCTGCATTGTGTTGTGGTGCGGTGTTATGCTATCCTGAAACGCCTCTGTAATGATCCTCTTATCCTGTAGTGTACAAGTGCTACCCTGTGATTCCCTTCATACAAGCAAAGCAGCTAGCAAAATCCCGCCCCTTGACCCACACTCATTTGAACCCCACCCTTTTGACCCCCAATCCTTGACTCCCACTCCTTGTCCCCCCACTATCCTCCCCCTGAATGCTCGTCGCTTACGGAAAGCACTGGGCGGCAGCATGCAGCAGGTGGGCGCGCTGGCAGGCAGGCAGCTCTACAGCTGCCTCCCCGTCTTCCTCCCCGTGACCCCCCACTGTTCTCCCCCTACAGGCCCGTCGCCTGCGGAAAGCACTGGGCGGCAGCATGCAGCAGGTGGGCGTGCTGGCAGGCAGGCAGGCAGCACTGCTGCCCTCCTATTCACCCCCACCCATTGACCTCTTTCCCCCATCCCCTGAAGGCTCGTCGCTTACGGAAAGCACTGGGCGGCAGCATGCGGCAGGTGGGCGTGCTGGCAGCGGCGGGGCTGGTGGCACTTCAGGAGTCGGTGCCTCGGCTCATCAGGGACCACCAACGCGCCATGCAGCTCGCAGGTATGCTGCGGTGCTGTGCTGTGCAGCTCGCAGGTATGCTGCGGTGCTGTGCTGTGCAGCTCGCAGGTATGCTGCGGTGCTGTGCGGTGCTGTGCTGTGCAGGTTGCAGGTGTGGTGTTGTGGGGTGTGCACTTATTTGTAATGTCCCTGTGTGTGTGGGAGTGAAGTGTTTGCCAGTGCTGGCAGCAGCATTAGCGGGTCGGGTGGCCCTTCAGGAGTCGGTTCCTCGGCTTATCCGAGAGCACTAACGCGCCATGCAGCTCGCAGGTATGCTGCGGTGCTGTGCTGTGCAGCTCGCAGGTATGCTGCGGTGCTGTGCTGTGCAGCTCGCAGGTATGCTGCGGTGCTGTGCGGTGCTGTGCTGTGCAGGTTGCAGGTGTGGTGTTGTGGGGTGTGCACTTATTTGTGATGTCCCTGTGTGTGTGGGAGTGAAGTGTTTGCCAGTGCTGGCAGCAGCATTAGCGGGTCGGGTGGCCCTTCAGGAGTCGGTTCCTCGGCTTATCCGAGAGCACTAACGAGCCATGCAGCTCGCAGGTACACGCAGGTACAACGGTGTGCTGCTCTGGTGTGCACATAAGTGCAACGTCAGGTGGGGTGGGCGTGCTGGCAGCAGCGGGGCTGGTGGCGCTTCAGGAGTCGGTGCCTCGGCTCATCCGAGACCACCAACACGCCATGCAGTTTGCATTATCCGTCTCCCTGCCTGTTGGGCTCCGCTTCCTCCCTCCCACTCCTCTCCGCTTATTCCTCCCTCCACTATGCTGCCTCTGCAGAGGGGTTGGAGATAGTGGATGGGCTGGCTGTGCATGTTTGAGGCACCTCAAGCAAGGCGCCTCAAGCACGTGAAATTTAATTGGTTTTGAGACATCTCAAAACCATTGGATGGGCTGGCTGTGGATGTTTGAGACGCCTCAAGCAAAAAAAAAAAAAAAAAAACAATCCTCCTCCCTCTCAATTGTTTCTGCCTGTGCAGAGGGGTTGGATACATTGGATGGGCTGGCTGTGGATGTGAGCACGGTGGACAGCAACATTGTGAGTACAGCGGTGGTGATGATATGGATACAGAGGAATTCAACAGCTTCAAAGTGGGTGTAAAGAGGTGCCCTCAGAAGGATACATTGGATGGGCTGGCATTGGATGTGAGCACAATGGACAGCAACATTGTGAGCACAGTGGACAGCAACATTGTGAGCACAGTGGACAGCAACATTGTGAGCACAGTGGACAGCAACATTGTGAGCACAGTGGACAGCAACATTGTGAGCACAGTGGACAGCAACATTGTGAGCACAGTGGACAGCAACATTGTGAGCACAGTGGACAGCAACATTGTGAGCACAGTGGACAGCAACATTGTGAGCACAGTGGACAGCAACATTGTGAGCACAGTCGACAGCAACATTGTGAGCACAGTGGACAGCAACATTGTGAGCACAGTGGACAGCAACATTGTGAGCACAGTGGACAGCAACATTGTGAGCACAGTGGACAGCAACATTGTGAGCACAGTGGACAGCAACATTGTGAGCACAGTGGACAGCAACATTGTGAGCACAGTGGACAGCAACATTGTGAGCACAGTGGACAGCAACATTGTGAGCACAGTGGACAGCAACATTGTGAGTACACTGGCCGGTCATCACAGCGGCAATACCGAGGATTCAATGACACCCAGATTGCCACCACAAGGGGAAGGAAGAGGAAGTAAACAAAGCAAAGCAACATATGCCAGGTGCTCTTGATATGTGTTGCATTCAGGTGCCAAAAACAAAGGATGTGACGATGGGTGATTGGCCCATCTGTGATTGGCCCATCGGAGCCAAGGAGCTGTGCGCACATGATTTTCTTCGTAGCATGCGTAGAGCCTGATACGTGTTGAAGTCGAACTAACATGCCCTTGATCTGTGCTTAATTCAGGTGACAATGGATGTGAAGGCCGATTGCCCTATAGGAGCTGAGGAGCTCTGCAATGCTCTGCGGCAGGCTGGCGTTCTCACCACGCTGCGCAGCAACAACAAGTGAGTGTGGTCCGCCCGACCAAAGCATCTGGAATAATGAAATGGTCCGCATGCTCTGCGGTGCTCTGCAGCAGGCTGGCGTTCTCACCACTCTGCGCAGCAACAAGTGAGTGTGGTCGGCCAAAGCACCTTGAATAATGTAAAAGCTCTGCAATGTTCTACGGCAGGCTGGCGTTCTTACCACCCTGTGCAGCAAGCAACAACCAGTGAGCTTGTTTGAATGAGTTGCAGTGTGAATACTGTGCAGCGCAATGATGATTTGCAGTGCAGTAGTGTGGTATTTCGCACCACCCACCCTAGAGATTGTACTGAAAAGGCTGTGGAGTCTTCGCTTTCAGCTTACATGTGGGATGCTTTTGACTAAGGTAGCTACCGACTTTGCTTCTGCATTGATCTGTAGTATGTGTATGAGATTCTTATTCCACTAACTTAATTGCTTTTCTATTCATCCGCTCTTATCGTCCCCTCCCAGGATCCGAATGGTCACACATTACCACATCACAGCAGAAGACATACGATACACTCTCGCATGCACACAGGTACATTGTTGAGTTGATGGATAGTACGGCATGTTCGAGTTGCTTTGTCCATCACTTGCATTGTATTCATGTTTTCTGCTCTGGCATTGCTGTATTGTGGGTTCTGTGGTGTCCTCATTTTTTGGGGTTGAAAACGTGCAGCAAATTCTGCTCAAGTCATCCCTTGAGGAGGAAGACTCTACGTACATATGACCTTCTGAGAGGCAAAATCATGAAGCTTATGCAACAGGAAGTACAGGACTAGGTACGGTACCGGTGTTATACAGATCGACTTTTGTAAACAAGTCTGGCTGTAGTCAAGGTTTCTGATGTTGAAAGAGCTTGCTGCGGGCACGTTCATATCTGCCTGAGTTGAGGAATTGTGCAAGGCCATTTCAAAAGGGTTGGGAGTTGGGACTAAATCCGATGAAATACGGTAGAAGAGATCCAAGTTAATTTGATGCAGTATAATCAAGCTCCATGAGTGACACAGAAAGCATATGCATGCTGCGGCCCACCTCCAGTGGCATAGGGAAGAAATGCCGTCGCATAGCCTCTACCAAAGAAAATGCAACCACGGTCAGTAGCTATCCCACCATAAACAGAAGCACCAGGTGTGAACGACCATAGGTTCTGTCCCGACGCAGCATCAAACGCGTACACATGCCCTTGCGCGTCCATTGAACCTGCGAACACCACCCCATTGGCTGCTGAAGGCAGCATGGCAAGTGCTGGGGCAGTCGGTTTGGCCGTTGACCACAGCGCAGCCCCCGTTGCAGGATCGAGCGCAACCCATGCACTCCCATCTGTGACTGTAGCGGAAGGTAAAAGAGTGAAATTATTGAATCCGTCGTTCTCAATTCCCACGTAAATCCGTTCCAAGTCCGTCGCAATTCCCCACGAAACGCCTCCGAGAAGTCCTCCTGGGCCAACAGCTGTGGACCACACGATCGATCCGTCGTCACGATCAAGGGCCCACACAAGCCCAGATTTCTGGCCCGCCACTGCAATGTCGCGTTTCGCTTTCTTCCGACCATTTCCTTTCGAGATGTTGCTGTCAATCGACATTAGCAAAGGAGCCATTCCGAAGTCGTAGTCTTCGCCTGGACTCGAGGGCAGTTAGGTGAAGGGGTTCCCGTGATGCTCGCTAGGTTCCACGCGTCGATTGGGCTCAGGTTTGTCGCCCACTGAATAGACCCACTCAAGAGGTCTATAGCGAGGATAGAATCGAAGTGATTTCCGGGCTCAATGCATTTGTCGGGAAGTGTCGCGCCGTTTTCTTCCTGCTCCTGCTGGCACTGCGAAACGTAATCAGGAACTCGGTAGTTGTTACCAGTCGCGACGAAGACCAGCTCCCTCGCCTCGTCGATTGATGGGTTCGCGCCCCACACGGCCGCGCCGGCGTATAGGCTGGCGTTTCCGCCGTTGGGCGGCAGAGTGAAAGTCTGCCACACTTTTGCGCCGCTTACGATATTCAGCTTCACGACGCTTCCAATGAAGGTGCAACAGGGGTAGGTCGGATTCGACGTGTACAACTCCTCCACAGATTAAACGCCAACGTACAGACCGTTTCGGTACGCCGTACCGGACCCCGTTACAACTGCCGCGGGATGCGGATCAACTAGCGTTTTCCAGACCAGGCCGCCGTCGCTGCGTCTCACCGCCAAGACGTACGCAGGACCGTACACGCTGATGATCATGAGGTTCCCGAGAAACCCGCTGGAGTCGACAACAACAGGAGTGGCACGAGAGTACGGATCGCGACCCTGGAAATTGTCCTGGTCGATTCCATAATCCGTCCGAATGCGCTTTTGCCAAACGGTAGCTCCCGTGCTCCGCCTCACCGCGTACAGGTACCCTGCCGCGTCGGGAAAGTAGACACAGCGGGTGTTGCGCTGACATCGCCTTGAGGGGTAAATTCCCAAGATAGTGCAAGCTGAGATGCGGTGGAGGGGGCTATCTGGTGCTCGGTCTTTGCCCACCGGTGGTTCAGGAGGTCGCCTCCGTGAGTGACCCAGGAGCCGTGCGCGCTAGGCAGAACGGAGTAGAGCAGCAAAACTAGCAGGAGCAGAATCCAAGAGGCGCGTTGAGAGTTAGCCATAACTTACAAATTTCCGAATTTGGCGAGGGAGTTGGAGTTCAGCTCACAATTTTCTTCGAGCACCAATTCTTTGAAAACGAGGGCACAAATCGTCCAACATTTGTAACTAATGTCAGCAGGTGCACTGGCGAAGATTCCACTGACACATGCGAAGGTTTCTTCTAGTTCTTCGCCACCGACCGTTGCCCAGCCGACCTCGCAGACAAATGATGCTGTTTCGCTGCTGCAAAGCAGAGAGGCTATCAAAACAGAGAGGTTTTGGTGTTCTTCATTTGGAGGTGCAAGGTTTCAAAATCACAACCACACTCCACCCACTCTGAAGTACTTCCAACCAACCTGCCAAAGCCAGAGATTGTTGCTGAAAAGCAACTTCTAAAATGAAAAAAGCTCCCAGAGGTGGCCTTTGGACACAAATTACAGCCCCTACAATCCACTCTACACTTCTCCAAAATTTCATGTTCTGCTGTTACCGTCAGCCCCCGGATAGAAGCGCCCCTGGGGTTATAAAAAAACACTGTTTTTTAGGGGGTGGGCTGTCAGAATGAGGAATGGATGTTGCATTGATGTTGGTTGGGGTACATATGACAAACCCTAACTTCTGTACCCCCTAAGACAAACCTCACTACAGGCTACAACATTTGACACACCCCCATAGCCTAAGTGAGGGGTGTCTAGCAAAAACAAAAAAGAGTACGGTCACAAGACCAGTCCAAAAGAAAACAAAGCTCAGGGTGGATCACAACGTCACCACACACTCTGAGCACAAGCAACAGTGGCCACAAGGCCAGTCCAAGAGATCACAAATATATATAGTAAGTGTACAGACGAAGCAGGCAATAAACTCAAGTCTACGCATGACTAGAACCTGTGTCAACAAGGCCTAACTGCACACAACACCTCTGGTGGTCACAAGGCGGAAGCGCCTTGGTGAAGATGTCTGCAGTGTTGGCCTCGGACTCTACAAACTCGAAGCGAGCCTGTCCACGCCTCTGCAACTCTCGCAGAAGAAAGTACCTGACGTGAATGTGCTTCACTCTGCTCTCCAGTCGCGGCTCACGACAGAGGAGGATCGACGCCTTGTTGTCAGTAAACAAGGTCGGTGCAGAGCTCGGCCGCTCACCAAGGTCGGCGAGCAAGAAGGTCAACCACCGCAACTCCTGTGCCGCCATGGCACCAGCGTAAATCTCAGCCTCAGCTGTAGAGGTCGAGACAGAAGAGGAGCGCGTGGAACGCCAGGAAACAGCTCCAGAACCCAGACTGAAACAGTACCCCTGAGTAGACCTGTGAGTCTCAGCGTCGTCAGCGTAAGAGGAGTCACAGTGACCAGTGAGTACGACAGACTGCTGCCCTCCAAGAACTAGCCCCACGCCTGATGTAGTCGCTAGGTACTTCGCCACCCTCACAGCTGCCGTCCAGTGAACAGGACGGTGTCTCCCTGGCGCAACAAAGCGCGCAAGGATGCTGAGAGGGAAGGCGAGGTCCGGGCGAGTACAAGTCATCAGGTACATGAGACAACCCACAAGCTCTGCGTAGGGACCACTAGGCTCAAACGGCTCGTCAGGAAAGGGACCAGTGAGTCTGTGGTCAACAGCGAGAGGTGTGCGCTGTACGGTGGAGTGCTGAAGCCCGAACCGCTGAAGGACCTGCTGCACCATGTGTGACTGTGAGAGTGTAATGGTGCGAGCGGCTCTGTCCCTGGTGATCTGCAGGCCAAGGTAGTGGCGCAGCTCACCAAGATCAGTGCACGTGTGTCTCTTCTGCAGTTCGGACTTCACGTCTGCCAAAGCAACCCTGTCCGGAGTGGCGAAAACGAGGTCGTTGACGTAGACCAGGACAAAGAACGGTGTGGAGCCACGACGAACGAACAGCGACGGGTCGGCAGAAGACGGCTGGAACCCAAGGTCAGAGAGGGTAGAACGCAGAGTGTCGTGCCACTCACGAAGGGCCTGGCGAAGACCGTAAACAGGTCGCCTCAGCCTCCACTGGGTCCCAGGAGGGAAAGTGCCAGTGAAGGCCGAGGGACGACGCAACCAGACCTCCTCGTGTAGGCTGCCCTGAAGGAAAGCAGTGGAGAAGTCGAGAGAGTGTAACTCGTAGTCTCTCTGTGCTGCTACGTGTAGTAACACCCGAAGAGTGGTCATCTTCGGGGTAGGTGCGAAGGTCTGAAAGAAGTCAACTCCCTCGCGCTGACTGAAACCTCTAGCCACGTAGCGCGCCTTGAAGACCGGGGGAGATCCCGGTGGCCGCTTCACCCTGTAGATCCACATGTCGTCGACTACGTTCGCCCCAGGGGGGGGAACCTCATCGACGTAGGTGCCTGTGGATATGTAGAAAGCCATCTCTGCGTCCATGGCAGCTCTCCACTGAGAGGCCCAAGGCCCTGAC